AAGCACTTCAAACTCCTGTTGATTTCAGCAGGGCAAATTTAGCTCTTCCCACAATGAAAGCAATGGGAGTTAAAAGTGCTTTACTTTAGCTTGGTACTGCCCAAAGCTCATAGCAATCCAGTTGTTATGAATGAATGAATGGCATTTCAGACTCAGTGTACAGTACAGACAGTGGAGGAGCTTCATGCTCCGGCACCGGGGGGGGGGGGCGGAGAGCAGGCGGGGGCGGGGCTGGTACGCGTCCTGGGGGCGTGGCACACTACCTGTGGGGGCGCGGTGCCCAGCGCGGGCGGGGGCAGTCGCGATGGCACCCCACTGTGATTGCGCTGCTGGGGGGCGGTGCGCTCCCCCCGCACTCCTCTTCCTCCGCCAGTGAGTACAGAATAGAGTGTTGGGCTGGGGTCAAGGAGATCCAAATCTCCATTCAGCCATCAGGTTCCCTGGCCTAGAGCCACTTACCTACTTCTCAAGGTTGTTGCAGGGATAACATGAGGGGGCCAGGGACATGCCTTGAGCCTTATGGAAGAAAGGTAGCATAAAAATAAATTAAGTAATTTCTGTGGGTTGGAGCCATACTAGACAAGTTGAACTTTGTTTCCAATGAAATCAGCGGGACTCAAGTCATTACTAACTAGTCCCACTGATTACACTGGAAACAAAGTTCACTTAATCTCATGTGGATCCAATACTGTGTTCTCCCTCCACACACTCAGTCTTGAGCAGAGACATGAGCAACATTACCTTACTGGAAATGAAACTTCTGAGCTCCACTTGCAGGAGTTATAGAGCATCAGAGTTTCTTAGAGGGCCACCTTCCAGATTTGTGAGAGTGCTGTTGCAAGTCTCTTCTTTTAACATTGGAAGAGTTATAATGAGCTGTTTGGCAGATTTGTGTTGGCCTCATAAACGGACATAACGATTGGTTGGAAATTCTTCCCATCTAATTTTTGTCACAGAATAAGTTTATACTCTGGAGCCATGCCAGGGCTTTTTAGGCAGGTTTCAGAGCAAACCCTTTTTGTTGTTGTTGTTGTCTCTTGCCGTAGATACATAACTATCTTGACTCTTGCACATTTCTGACGAAACTCTGGGAAAGTTAATCTGTATAAGCTCTTCTGAAAAGCCACCAGACAACACTGTGGCGGGGGGGGGGGGGGAGACCAAATCCAGTTAAGAATCCAGACATAGCTCTGTCTGACTTTCTGATTTTAAAAAAGTATTTGAAATAGTTATGGGGCCCAGCTCTTTCCCAGCTCTTGTTTACTGTTAATTTTAATTCACCCACTTCATTGAAATTCATATTAGATCAAGGATGAGGGAACTTTTCCAGACTGTGGCCCACATTTCCTCATGGGCAACCTTTCAGGGGCCGCATGCCATTGGTTTAACCTGTCAAACAGATTGCCACAGGAGTGTGTGGTGCCCTTCCTACAGCTAACCACAGGAAATCCCTGCTTTCTCTGCTTTAAAGATATTGAATGTTGAGGTAGTAGGTTCTGTCCTTCATATTGCTTTGATACTACCATATTGGCACGAATATAAGGCGCACACGGATATAAGCCGCACCTTTAAAATTCAAGGGGGGGGGAGAGAGAGAGAAAAGACAATACCCAAATATAAGACTCTCCATTAAAGTTGGTGGCGACCACATGGTGCGAGCAAAGAATTGTGGCCCTACAGGACCCAGATGGCGCACTGGGTAATGATGGGGGGGGGCTGCTGAAGAGGCCCCAACACTCCTCCAAAGCGCCATCCCTACATGGCGCAGCTGGGGGGAGGTTTGCGTAGCGCAGCGGTGGAGGCGGCAGCCCACCCAGGCACCCGCCACCTGCCGCTGGATGTGCCCCCATGCTGGACAGGCACCCCCCGTTCCCTAACAGTGGGGTTGGGGGCCAGCTGGGCAAGAAGAGACATTCTGCTGTCAAAATGAAGGGGGAAGAGGGGAAATGCCATCAGCAAAGCGGCATGGCTCCCCCCTCAGGAAGCAGCCCAGGAGCACGGGAAAATGGCGTGCAGCCTGCCTGCAGCTCCCAAGCCTCCCCCTAGCTGTCAAAATGAAGGGGGAAGGGGGGAACGCCGCCAACAAAGCTTGGGAGTCGCGGGCAGGCAGTGTCCTCTTGTCCCGCAACTGTTTCAGCAGCATATCATAAGGTCGCGATTATAAGCCATACTCTAACTTTTCCAGATCAGAATTGGGGAGGGGGGGGAGGGTGGCTTATAATTGGGCCAATACAGTATTTATCAAGCAAAACTCAACATGGTCTTCACTACCACCAAAACGTGTGGTTTCAAAATATTCTAGTTACAATAGAATTATTTTGTTTTGGAATTTGGTTACATTTTATTGCTAATATGGCTTTGTTATTTTTGCAACTGAAAGAGTCCCAACATCCAAGGGAAACCCAGGGAGACATTGCCTCAGGCAATAATCTCGGAACCAACTACACATGACCTTAACTTTTGCTCTTGAGTGCAGAACTCCCCCCCCCCCCCATCACCAGCACTTTGCTCCTGAATTTCATCCAGATGCAAACATAAAGGTAGGGGGTCTTGTCACAGACTCAACCTGGATCAAGGCCCCCATTCTTCTAATTTGTGTTGCAAAAAAGGGTCCCATTCATATCTTCCTCCCCTGACTTGAGTAATGTAACAAGCTGCTCCTCCGCATTAACTTCAGGACAAACTTGAAATGACTATAAATGTACCTTTGCATTTGATGGGCATTATTCTAAAAATGCAAATAGCAGCTGCTGGCATATGTGTGTAATTAAGCAGGGAAGTTTAACCCTTTGATGGTGCCAATGGGGGATTTTGTCCCAAACAGTAGTTTCAAAGAGTGTTTTTCGTGAAGAAAGAGGTAGGAGAGGTTGCTATCCTAATAATTATCTCCTCAGCTCAGCAGTTGCTATCTGCACTTTTAAAAACATGGATGGCAAGTTTAAAAACTCATTTAGCATCATGCGTAGTTTGTCCCTAAATCTAACCGGCTGGACTGGGCGATTCATTGCTTCCTCTAACTTGCCTCCATCTGTATATCTGCTTCCTGAGACAGAACTGGAACATACTGAAAGAATCCTAATTATTTGGTGATGCTTTCAGTAATCACGTAAGGGAAGCTTGTGAGATTGGTCTGAGGTAGCCTTGGAATGCTGAGGACCTTACAGTAATTGAATTAGATCACTTACAGTAAAAATGGGATGTCCTTTCCTGTTCTTCTCTTTGAATTATTGCCACACAGGATTCCCCTCTTTCCCATCAGCTGCCCTCCCCCACTTCCCATTTCCCGCCTTCTGAATTATGCTTCCAGGGCTCCTTCAGAAAGTAAACCATCTTCAGGTGTTTCAATGGATTTATTTGTTTTGTGGGTGAAATCCATACACATTCGCATAGCTGCAGCTTGATGAAGAAGGAAAGGGCAAATAAACCTGAGTGCTGTGGTTTCTTTGAAAGTTTGTCTGGATACTGGGTGACAGCGCCAGCCCTCAGCCACAGCACCTTGACTCATTCTGCTGCTGTCTAGCAGAAAGGATTGTCCCCTTGGGAAAGAGCTGAGCCACATTTGCAAACACAGAGATGACTGAAAGGAGGCTGTTCCTGACCTTTGTGTCATTTCCCAGGGGGGGTTTCAGCTGACTCTCACTTGCAGTCGTCACCCTGAGAGAAGAATGCCTACTATGAAAGTTTTCATAAAATGGTAGCAACAGTGAAAGTCTTCCCATGATTCCCAGCTTAATTTTGAAAAAGAAGTGTCTGTATGTCAAGAATGTAATGTCACACATACACAGAAAGACAGACAGACAGTTAGTTTTCCCTTTGTGTCTTTTCTGTAAGAAAGACAACTTTTAGCTTCAATTAAATCACTGCTACTTTATCCACAGATTTCGTACACACACATGTATACACATAATTAGTTATATCCAGCTTTTTCAGGATACAAATATTTCTGAGGCAGCTTATCAATCATGTAACATGATATTTTTATTTATATCTGTCATCTATCTATCTATCTATCTATCTATCTATCTATCTATCTATCATCTATCTCTCACAAATAATAATATTGTTGTTTGAACTTGTCAGTTGCTTGTTACACAAAAGGTCTCCAAGCAACTTACAGCATACCTGAAATTTAGATATTTACATATGTAACTTATAAAAATTAACCATTTAAGAGCATCAGCATAGGTAAAAATCAGCAATAAGAACAATATCAATATATAAAAAGCACCCAGAATCCTTCCCACAGTGCCGCTGTTATGTGGTAGTGGGCAGCATGGGATGGTTCTGCTAGAGCAGGAACAATGATCTGCAGAGAAGGTGTCGGCCTTTCAGCTACCATGATGTCTTCTGAGAAGAAGGCAGGTGGTGGCACATGACCCAGTGTGGAGGGGAGGGAGGCAGTCAAGCTGGAGCAAGCCCTGAGGTCTTGTTTACCTGCCTCTCTCCCCGCTCCTGGAATCCTTCCTACAGAGCAGATCCTGCCAAGGGTTCCCAGGAAACAAGCAGACATGAATGGCAGGGATTAATGTAGCAGGTGTGGCTTCTGATGCACTTCTTCCTACTATGGTGATGTCATTTGAAAGCATGGAAATCCAGCTCAGGGCAACAACAGCTCCTTGGCAAACATCAGTAAAACCTTTAAGCAGCCAGCGCTATCAGTAAAGTACTGTTTGCCCTTTAGAAGTGGTAATTAATTTTATATTCTATTTGTATAGCTATCTTCACCTCTGTCCCAGATACCTCAAATGTGGCTCACCATACTTGGTAGAATAACCTCTACAGTCTTTAAACTGCTCCAGGCAGCAAAAACTTGCAGTGCCTAATGGATGAGAAAGTCACTTTAATTTGTGGAACTCTTTAGGTAGATATGACCGTACTGAAGAAGCACAGAACTGAAGTGAACCATGACTTGCCCTTTCAGTGGTTTAATATGGGCACTGTGGGTTGTTTCTGAGTGCTAGTACTACAGAGTAGACCACTGAAATTAAAAGACAAATTAGGCCCATGAATTGCAGGTAGCTCTTTTGGTAGAGCATGAGACTCTTAATCTTTGGGCTGTGGGTTCAAACCCCATGTTGGGCAAAAGATTCCTGCGCTGCAGAGAATTCGACTGGTTGACTCTTATGGTCCCTTCCAACTCTACAATACGATGATTCACAGCTAGTTTTTGCTAATGGGCAAAGGCCTTCAATGCAATGATGACAGGATGTGCCTTCCTTGTGGATTCTGGGAAGGCCTTCAGAGCTTGTGGCATGTTAAACTGAATGCAGCAGAATAGCACTCACAGAAGTTCAGTAACGTTGCCTTTTCAATGAAGATGTGCCTCTTTGTCCAGACCTTTGAGAAAGAGTGAGGCACAGTGGTGGAGCTTCATGCTCTGGCACTGGGGGGCGGAGAGCAGGCGTGGGCGTGGCATGGCGCATATCCTGGGGGCAGGGTGCGCCGCCTGCGGGGGTGTGGCACCCAGCGCAGGCGGGGGGGGCAGCCACAATGGCACACCACTGGGATCGCGCTGCCAGGGGCGGTGTGCTCCCACCGCACTCCTCTTCCTCCGCCAGTGGTGAGGCAGCAATAAATTTTGATGATTTTGGCTTTGTTGCTGCTGCCTCTTTTAAAATTTATTCTGTATTGTTCTGATGTTATTGTGATTAATGCTGTTGTTTCTTACTTTGTTTTAGTTCTTATAGAGTATAATTTGATTTTAATATGTATTAATTTTCTGCCCTGGTACCTTCAGGTTAACTAAAGGGTGAATTATAAAGACCTTTAATAATAACTAATTGAAAAGCTGCCAGGTTTTGCTGCCTGTCTGGGGCGGGGCGGGGGGTGGGGTACCTCGGGTTACAGACGCTTCAGGTTACAGATTCCACTAACCCAGAAATATTAGCTCAGGTTAAGAACTTTACCTCAGGATGAGAACAGAAATCGCGTGGCAGCAGCAGGAGGCCCCATTAGCTAAAGTGGTACCTCAGGTTAAGAACAGTTTCAGGTTAAGAACAGACATCCGGAACGAATTAAGTTCTTAACCTGAGGTACCACTGTACAACCACAATACAGATGGATAGGTAGGATGTGTTTGGGCCTTTCCTGAACAGAAGTCTAGGTCAGGTCTCCTGTTTTGCTCTGAAAGGGAAAAATAAGGAATGAGGGTGTTTTCTTCTTCTTCCAGAAATGGAAGGAAGGCAGGGAAACAAAATGCTCTGGTATAGTTGATTCAGTGCTAACAATGTTAATACTACACATTATTACCAAAAACATGTCAATTTTTTTGCTGGTAGAGATGTAGCAGGTTTGTCTATTTCCCTGAAAGTTCAGGTAAAATGGAAGGTGTTATCTCCTTTCACCCTCATTCCACACCCAGCTACGTGTTTAAGAGACAAAAAAAATGCTGTACAAAGTGAGAAGATGACCCCCCCCCTTTGGGTTATCTGAGTTTGAGCCATTAGTATCTAATGCTGTCTTTAAGAAGGGCCTGTGCATGCATCCTGCAATGCTCACAGATTTTAAACTGGGATTTACAGCATGTCTTGGGGGTTATAATGCCATAAGTCTGTTTTTCCTCCATCGCTGTGTTGCTCTCTGTTAATATTTGACAGGTTCCTTATGTGAAGCATCTGCCAAAAAAACAACCCCAATCCAAACACTTCATAAGACCTACTGAGAAGTTAAGGAAATCTGCAATGGATACGTTATTAGAAGATGCTTATAGTCCACTTTTCCTCTAAGCAGCTCAGTGAATCACACACAGTTCTCTCTCTCTCCTCCTCCTATCTTTACAACAACCCTGTCTGGTAGGTCAGGCTGAGAGATACTCAGCCAGTTACCTTTGTGACTGAGCAGACACCACATTCGCCGTCCATGAGCCCAGCTGCATTTGTGATGAACGTGGTGCTAAGCTTGCATCAATCCAGCATCTGACGAGATTTTTTTTTAAAAAAAAACAAAAACTTGCCCCCGCCCCCCCTTTTTTTAAAAAGTAGAATCACGGTTTGTACACATACAAACCTTGAGCAAGCATCTTGCTTTCCACTGCAATATACTGGTTATATTCCTGAATTTTTCCTCCAGTGCAAATTAACTTTACCTAGAACAGTTACTTTGGTATGGATTAGATCCATCCATTCACCAGTAGCTTACATTAAAGATAAGTTGCAGTTACCCCACTAATTCTTTTTAACTTCTAGGTACAGCTTGTTTGCTTATTTGTTTACTCGATTACTTTAAAAAAAATTGCCCTGCTTTTCTTTGTAAACTCAAAACAGCTTACAGAAAATTCATAAAGTATATGAAGCACTGTAAAAATTGGCTGCCCTGTGGATAGAGATGACATGGGCAATAACTATGGTTCTACTATTTAATTATAATCCTCAGTGATAGAAATAAATGATTGCAGGGTCAATCATACTTTATAGATGCTCACCTATTAAAGGAAGAAAAAAATTACTTGCCTTTCAAGTGGCTTACTATAAAATCATGTCTAGAATCTTCAAACTATTTGCTTCGAACTGATCTCATCTGCTTCCATGTGGCTATAGATTTTGCTATGTGGTGTATGTGCCACAGTAAAATGAGATCAAACAATATTCCCTTTTCCTTTATCTCCACATAGATTTAGCAGATTTATCTGAACAATCGAAAATGGAAACTTGCAAGTTTCAGCCAGATTTTGTAAATGTCAAAACACTCAAGAGATGCAGCTGATGAATGTTGTCTTAGTAATCAAGAGTGGGAAAATCTGTATGTATTTTGGACATTCATAAAATTCATGTGGGCTTTTCATCATTCACATGTGACCACCAAAATTCCCTCAAATTTCATATAGACTAAAAAGCCAGTCAAAGTGTTGTGTGCACTTATGAGAAAGTTAAAATTCACAGAGGCTTCCTGAATCATGTTATAAGGACGCCACTATATAAGGTATGGGAAAAATATAAAGATCTATTGGAACCAAAAACTCCCTGGTGACTATCCCCTTTGGAGGCCATAGCAGTGAAAAGAAAAAAATATGGAAACAAATTGGGCCACGTATAAAGACCTATTAGAAGAAGAAGATAATAAATTGAAAGTGAAAAAATTCAAAGAAATAAAACATCACCTAATGGGCTGGCTACAATATTATTAATTAAACAAGGTGTTTAAGATCGACAAGAAAAAGGTTCTGCAATGGAAGAATCAAAAGTAGACAAAGAATTAATGCAAAATAAGAAAAGAGTAATATCTGGAATGTACAGGCTTCTTTTAGAATGGGAGATGAAAGACGAACTATTGGCATGGGAAAGATTATGGAATAAAGAATGGAAATTTATGTTATACACTAACGGAAAATCTCTTGAAGATGCTCTATAGGTGGTATATAACTCCCAGCAAACTATCCAAGATGTATAAAATGAGATCTAATACTTGCTGGAGGCATAAACAGGCAGAAGGGACACTCTTTCATATGTGGTGGGGTTGCAAAAAAATTAAGATTTTGGGATATTATATACGAGGTATTGAAAAAAATGTTTAAGTGAACCTTCATAAAGAAACCAGAAGCCTTCCTCTTGGGCATTTTAGACTCAGACATTCCAAAAGGAAAAAAAAAAGAATATTCTTATATCCTACAACAGCAGCAAGAATATTAATTGCCAGAAATTGGAAAGTAGAATTAGTACCAACAAAAGAGGAATGGCAGGATAAATTATTTGAATATCTCAGACTGGCAAAAATGATGGAGACAATTAGGAGACAGCCAAACCAAAAGTTCAAAAAGGAGTGGGAAATATATAAAGAATATTTTTAAAAAACATTGCCCTCAAGTTAAAACTTGGACATGGTTTGATTAATTTTCAGAATTACAATATGAATTATAAGTATAGTATTCAGATAACAGAAGAAATGGTGAAATGTTAAAGAAGCAGTTTAACAAATAGATAAGACAGATCCACTTTGAGGAAGATGGAAGTCAACTGAGGAAGATAAGGAATTGGGAATTAAGAACATGGTGGCATAAGTTCTTTTGTAAGAACTTAGGGATTTATGGGTGGATGGATGTTTTTTCTGTTGTTATTATTTTGTTATTTTTGTTAATTTCTTGAGTGTGTTTGTTAAGTAAGAAAACTAATGAAAAGCATATTTTTAAAAAGTGTTGTGTGCACATGACCACTGCATATCTTTGCAAAGAAAAAGACTTTAATTCCAGTTTTTAGTGTGTTGTTATAAATTTTAAATGCTTTATTTACATGATCTGTATTTGTATGAATTTTAATGTTATAAGTCATTTAGAGACTCTTTGTTAAAAAGTGACTGAAAATTAAATCAATACAAAAAGAACCACATACTCCAATAATGGAGAAACTATAGCAGTGAAGAGAGAATAACTAAGGTACTCACAGTGGCTTCCAGCTGACAGTTTGGAGGGACCTTACTGACACATCCAAATGTCAGAAGCTAAAATAAAAATTCTAGAATAACTCAGAACCATACTGAGAGCACCAAAGGAAACTGTAGAGCAGAGGGAGGGAGCATGGGACACTCCAGACATTGTGGATTGCAATTCCCATCACCCCATACAATACTGGGACAATATGGTGCTGATGGGAGTTGCAGTCCACAACAAGGGCACCATGTTGGCTACAACTGCTGTGGTGTGGTGGTTAGAGTGTCAGATGAGGGCTCTAGTTCCTCTTGGCCATGAAGCTCATTGGCTGGCCTAGGACCAGTCACTGCCTCTCAGCCTAACCTACTTCACAGGAGTTGTTGAGTGGATAAAATGGAATGGAGGGCAGCTATGTATACCAACTTGAGCTCCTTGCAGGAAAGGTGGGGTATATACTGAATGAATGAATGAATGAATGAATGAATGCCTGGAATATGGATGCTGAAGGAATTAGACCTGTAGAAATTCCAACATGAACCGACATGATCTGCACCTCCTGGATTAAAGTGAAGACATTGGTTTTTGTTCAGATTTCACACATCTGTGCATTTTATGATGTAGTTCTCAGCTCAAAAACTTCGTATAAAAATAGGCATTTTAGGACCAAATGTTGCTGTTAATATGTTTAGAGCAACTTACTTTGATAGAAAGCACATTTAGAAAT